CCCATATGCATGCTTACACACATACACCTATCCCATATCCATCCACCCCCTACTCTATCCATCCATGCCCCAATCCTGCATTCATCCTTCCCTCTATCCATCCATTCATCCACCCATATCTCAGTTACCTTTTCGTGTTTCATTTCATTTGCTTTGTGGCAGCCACGGTAGGGCATAACTCTGCACGCCAACTTAACAAGCCTTATGTTTCTTGTGCACTTAACTGTAACTAACCTTTCAAAAGGTAGTTTTGCTTTGTGAAACATGCATCGCTGCACTGATGCCCACCTTGCACCCGAACGACGAACTCCATTGTTCCATCTTTTGTGCGTCTAAGAATGCTTCCCTTTGAAATGCTTGTCGATTTCGAGGTTTTGTCAACCAAGAGAACACTAGGCGAGCAAGGTGAACAGCTACATTGTGCCAGGTTGCAGACGCATCTGACAAGAACAAATTACTAGGTGATTGCGCACTTGAGGTCACACCGACATGAGTTGCAGCGACATCTACACTTGAGGTGATGTTTGTACACGGGCAATTCGTGGTGGTTACAAAAATGCAAATGAACGTTGGCGACAATTGCAGAAGAATTAATGTTAGTGCATTTTGTGAAGAGAAACTGGTTGGGAGACATGGCTATCTCAAAGGAGCTACATATGAATTGTAATCTGTCAAGCTGCGATATTCTGGTTGCGTGCAGCTTGGAAGTAGGTGAAGGAAGCTTAGAATAACCCTGTTTTTAATTACTGCTTCAATTTTCCTAGCAAGCATTTAAACAATTTTGAGCTGAAGATTGTTAGGATGGAACAGGTTATGGCTGCCCCGCCTAAATTGTACCATGTTGGAATCCATGTAATTTCTATTTATGCCTCTTTACACAACTCGCATGCATCAACTCATTTTAAGAACGGATTCGATTCACATTTGCTGTTGTAATTTTAATTTGACTTGCAGAAACATGAGACATGCATGCAGCGCTTTTTGGTAGTTGTATATGAAATTCTATACTAGTTAAAATGACTTATTCAGGACACTGACTTCACCTGGATTGTTTAATAAAGTGATGCTAAAAGAAGGCAAGAAGGGGGAAAATAGAACTTGCGACGATGGCAAAGGTTGAGTTTAGATCCTGGAGGGGAAGTGCTCAACAGACTCAAGGTTGCGCGGCCTCTTAGTCAAGATGTGCTCTGGTCGAACCAGATCATACATACTGCCTGGCCGAAGTCCCAATCTGGCTGCCACCACACCCGTGTAGGCGTCCTCGAGGGGAAAGGCCTGAGTGAAGAGCATACCAATCGCCAATCGCTCTAGTTGTGGGAAGCCTAGCAGGAGGAAAACACCACACATGTAGGTGGGATACACTGCCCATGGCACCTCCTGCTTCTCCACCGACCACCTGTTGAGGCCTCTTGGCACGAATCGTCGCACGGGGATACTGAAGAGGACTTTCCATGGTGCAGGTTGGCTCGTATCTCAGGCGGTAGTATGATAATGGAAATGGGGAGGCCGTCGTCAATGAAGAGAAGAGTGAGTCGAGAGTTGCGACAGAATGCGGCTGGCCATTGGAGAGAGTAGATTGTCTTCGTGGTGGGATTGTACTACGTGTCCTCATAGTCACCCACCACGAGGTCATTGTACTTATACTGTTTGCACTACTGAACCAACTTATCGCAGCATTGATCAATGTCGGTATCGTGGGTGATGCCAGCGTCGAGTGAAAAATGGGTGTTTGAACAAACATCTCAACACACATTAACTAAGTTATGTGCATGATCGAACATACCTAGGAATACACATTTACTGTAAAATGCGTGTGTTTATGCATACTTATGAATACACATAAAATGCCTTATGCGTATGATCAAACATACTTAGTAACGCACATTTATTGAAAAATAGGTATTTTCGAAATTACTTATTAATGCATTTTCTGGCACACCTTTATTTCAACATACTTATGGACGCACATTTACTCACGCATAGCTACTTTCAAATCCGCTTATTTGCACACATTTACACCCACCGACCTATTTTCGGATGTATTTTTGAGCACATCTTTACTCACACATGAGTCTCTTGGAGCATACTTTATAAATTGCATCAAATGAATCACACGTAAGATCAAAAATGTTTCTAGAATTTTATTTGTTAAAACATGCGTATGCTGCAACATATTTGAGAAATAGCATTTACACAAACATACGTGTGAACTAACATAATAATCGCCACATGTTTACTCACACATAGGTAGATACGAGCATACTTATGAAAACACATTAGCTAAAGCATTCGTATGATAGTAAATACTTATGAACGCACATCACTTCACGCATGCGTAAGTTTGAACATGCCTATGAACTCACATTTACTGAAACATACGTACACTCGAACGCACTTATGAACGCATATTTACTAACACACATGGATAATAGAACATCCTTATGGATAAACCCTTCCTCATACCTACGTTTGTTCGAATATACTTATGAGAACGCATTGAGCCTCACATACGTACGCTAGATCACACATATGAGCACACATTTACTCATGGTAGGTATGCTCGAACATGCCTTTGAATTTACATTTGCTCAGTCATACGTATTTTCAAACATATTTATGAACTTACTCTTACCCAGACAGTTTTTTTCGATTATATCCATGATCCCCTCTGTATTTTAATCAAACGTATGTCTAGATGTTCATAGCTTCACACCTTTTTAAACCTACCTATTTTTACTATTATATGTGGGCCCATTTTTACTTAACCACACTTTTGTTTCATTACGCATATTACTATTTTTGTATTCCAACCTGTCTTTCCCATTTGTTTACTAAAATATTTTGTATTCGAATCTTCTTATGATCACAAATTTATTACAGTTCTTCCTTTTTGCATACCTTCTAACATTTTATCACTTAAATGTACTTACATTTGAATACACATACATTTTCTTAGCTGATATCACTACATACTCTCATGGCATTCTCCCTCCTCTTTAGCTCTTACCGGAACATACAAGTTTGCCGTGCCAATTTTTCATAAAGTATTTAATTCTATTCCAACGGCGCATTTTTCAATGTGCGGCAATCAATGGATTAGGAGAAGAACAAGGTTTCAATCCACTCAAATATATGTGTTTACACATCTATTCTCCCAGTTTGCCAGCTAATAAACAATGGCAAATCGCATATTTATTCGCTTTTAGCGTACAGCAACTTTGAGCTGCTTTTAAATAGCCATAGAGAGTGCAGACTGTGACCATAAGTGGCTAGATGGCTATGTTAGCTCCTTGTTAATGGCGGAGTTGGGCTGTTCTAGCCAGTGTACACTGGATCCATCTCGGCTATTCAACTTGTCGATAATATCTGGTTGAAGTAGGGAGCGGATTTTCTGATGGATTACTGCAATGTCAAGTTCTCCTGGTTTCACGTCATAAGGTAACACCATCACCCACAGATTATTCGTAGTGGGGTCCACAACGAGTAGAAGATAAGCCTGAGAATCAACACCAATGCAAGGTGCAGTCTCAGTTCAGAAAATGGGCTACTGATCATTCACCTTTCTCCTCCCGTATTATCGTTGGTGTCGTCTCATATACGGAGTATTCGAGATACCATTCACTTAGTGGTATGCTTCCATTGGTGCACATTTCAAAATCCAACAATAATCTGATATCAATGTACAGTTTCTCTACTTGTCTAACAGGAAACAGTTCGTTTTGCCAAGCGTGTGACAAAACAGACCCCGTCACCTCGAATGCAGCCATCATATTTCCAGTGGACGAGGATGCATAACAGTGCATGCGAGTACTCCTTCCATCGCATTATTTGGCGGATATTTATAGACTCGAAAAACCGTAATGTGAGTATAGATGACTGTCAGAGTTTAAGATAAAACACGTACGTATCATTCCACTAAGCTGGATGATATTTAATTCTGCCTGAACATGGATGAAACCCCGCTGTTATGGTGGGAGGAAGGTGACCACAAAAATCGGTCATATGTACATCCGCTGATTTGAGGGAATTCTTCGCATAGTCTGAGTGTCGATGCATTGGGAATGGCTCTCAGGCACATTTAGCACATTATGTGAAACTGGTTAAAAACAATCTGTGCACACGATACCAATAAGAAGGAGGAAAAGGAGGAGTGAAGGAGACACCTTGATTTACCAGATGTTAAGTTTACCAGACCATTTGATAAACTTGCATGGCCTTCCATATTCTAAGGTGACCCATCCAACAAGCCAAAGTGATCACACATCTTCACTCACTCATTTTGCGCCGTAAATGCCCGCAAACGCAGAAGAGGATTGCCGCTGGATTTTACGCAAGTCCCGACTATACAGACCACTGAGGCGAGAATCTTGCTAATGCAGAGATGAAGAACTGTAAGTTCACTGATAACCATTCCAGGGTCAAAGGCAGCGATTAGTCAGTTAGCCGCGCTAACCGCGAGCGAATGAAATCACCGACTGCGAGTAGAACACAGACTTACACATGGACTTGCAATCAAGCTAGCTCTCGGGCGCCAACGCAAAAGTGTGCCTGGTCTGCACTATTGAAGCACAATTATGTTAATGTTTGCTGTTGGTACTACCGCGTTCAAAGAAAATTATCTAGTGTAGTTATTCCTGTAGATAGTGGAGGAGGAAGGTGAGATAGTAGAGTGACCGGTAAAAAAAGTCCGTGCAATTGAAAGCTAATTTGTCAGGTTAGATGGAATCAAGCAGACGAGTGACGTGCCTTTTCTATTAACCCATGAACTCCATCAATGAATATGACTGTATCCTGCAAAGGCGCAAAAGAAGGCTAATGCTCGTTTAGTAAAATTTAGCACGGCACATACAAATATAAAACTTTACAATCAAATTTAATTGGCCACTAGCAATTATTCGAGAAGCCTGTTGGTAGATTAGGCACTGGAGTAGCGAAGTAGTAAGTGGTCAAGCCATGGAAAGTGCATTCTTTGGAGTGAGTGCTAATGGAATCTGTGTCCAAGCCCGCCTTCTAGTTTAGTGCGCTCGAACGCTGCGACAAATGAACACATTGCAAATTCTTGCCGCCAAACAAAACCATCGAGTGCTCTTTGTTTCATCAGTATCTCTTTTCAACAAATCCGATAAAGCCTCCTTCGGTCGTCAACCAACCGAAGAAATGACCTACTCGTTTCTTTCACGAGTGATCTATCTAAGTTTCTTTCGCTTATAATTCTTCTCTGTGACACCAGCGGTACTGTCTAGGGAACTGTTACACTGCAAATTCAGGTAGATGGAAGATTTTGCAGCTCTATTTAGTCCCTCATCGGAACTCGCAGTGCCATTTTAATCCCAGGGTCTAGTTAAAGTGTTCGAAAAGCAAACCAAATTGATGTTTGCGTGTTATCACGATAAGACTATTCCTGCTTAACGCAAAACATGCTGGCAATTGTGAACTATTCGATGGTGACACTCTAATGACTGTCAAGGCTTCTCTTGCCAGTGAGAGAATGCTGTTTTCGTGTCATTTCTGGCTATTTAGCAGCCAGTCATGGGGTCGAATACGGAGAAGAAATCTTCCTAGCACCTAATAAATTATTTGTCTTGGCGAAATTAGAACTCGCAATTAGAGCCTACAAGAAAATCGCGAGCGAATAATTCATATTTTCTCCGTTGTCTTTTAGACTATAAGGCACGATTTGAGCCAAATTCTATGATTAACTTGTCCTAATACAGCTTAAGTGAAAGTTCTCAAGCTTTCATCTGTACGGCTTCATACTCATGTCCGTAAACCTATAAAATATTGTTCAGAAAAGGGGTGTTTGTTGTTTTACTTGCCTCCATTTCATGCCCGCGCTGTTCCGCCTCCAAAGCAACATCTACAACAGGTTTTTGCTGTGAGCTAAAAGAAGTCGCGCGAATACTTTGGTCACCTAATACCTTCGGATGTACAGTAGTAATGTATGGTAGGGGAGGCAGTGGGACAGGCACCAAGTCGCTTCGCTCCTCTTTGCTGCCCAACAACACTAGGTATATCAAATTGAAAGGTGCTCATAAACTCCTCGTCTAGCGGCCTTGAAAACGGGGTCATTTTAAACAGACTAAGCCAATTCTTATTTGCCACATAATGAATGCATTTTTGTTTGTAGTCGCCAATGGCACCTGACATCTTGGGAAAATGGATATCTAGCCTCAACCTGGACGTTGAACTGGCCTTTAAGAGCACCATGTGGCACGGCAAGGAGTTCGGACGCCAAACACTTGAATATAGCACGCCACAGTGACTTGGTGAAAGCAAATATCTGACTTAAAGTCCAGCATAATTTGCAGTGCCTAAACAAAGAAACCATTCTGAGGGTGTGTACTAAAGACCAAAGTACTACAGATTTATCGTAAATGTGTTAGCTTTTTGGATTAGCGATCAGTGAACTTGAGTTATCTTGGGTTGAACTCACGCAGAATCCAGACCGTGGACGAGTTTACTGCATCGCTCACGGTGACTTTGACTTGAATCCTGAACTATCTAATCAGCAGCCGATTTTGGTCCGGTTACAGTTACGATAAACTCCACTAACATTTGGTTTCCCCTCTCTTCTGAAAATTTATTCAACTTGATGCCATCCTTATCTGCAGTCGCTGTTCTATTTTTCAGGGGGTTACTTCCTTACAGGCAGGTTGCAAAGATCAGACGTGCTTCATACTCAAAGAGAAGTGTAATTTGCGTTAATGATAGGGGGAGCGAGAGCAGTGATTCCACTACTGAATGTCAAGAAAATTCTAGAGGAGGACTACGTCGTCAGTAAAAACTGCGGAAGCAAATTTTTCCCATTTCTAAACTTGCATTGTTACGTTCACTTATTGGAGTTAAAAAGATGAGATTTTATTGGCGGTTTTCTTTATAGTCTCTATAGGTACCCAGCCGTTTTAACAATGGATGAGAAGCTCGCTTTTACGATAGCCGGACTCGCTCAATTTAGCTTCGTCCCTATCTTTGTCCCTAAATTTGACAAATTCCGTTGTCACTTCCGTAGTCCGACACATCTCAATGGTTGATGCCATGACACTTCTACGACTAATGAGAAATGCCAAAATTTGGTTTGCTTACTTTGCTTCCCAGTTCTTCCATTTGCTTCGTAAATCAAATTTGCTTTACCGTAATGAAATAAAAAAAATATGGTGAAACTCTTGTTTGCATCCTGGCTTTGCAAATGTGAGTTTTGCAGCATTTAAGCTAGCATTTGCTCAAGAATACCAAATGCAGCAACAAGAGTTCTGAAAACGGTAGAGAGTACCCACCCTTAGTGGACAGCGGCACCGCAAGAACAGCAGATCTGGTATTTTACCGCTCCTCACAAAAGCAAGCAAAATGTGGAATTTCTTAAGCTTACAAGTGGAGATTGCGAAGAGTGAAGTGATCTCTAAGACTGAACAAGTTGAAGACTTAAGCTTGAGTATACTCTCCAGTTCATAACTTATCTCGATGGACTTTTTACAATTAATCACCATTTGACTCCGTGGTATCATCCTCAAATGACAAATAAACGATTTGTTATTGTCTGCCAAATATACCCCATTATGGTTCTTTGTTCAAAAACCACAAAGTCTCGGATGCTCGACAGTCCGACTGTCTAGGATGTGTTTAGGATAATTGGTTGATATGCTCTACAGGCCTATAAACAAAAAGTGGAGGAAAAAGGTGAAACAATGTAAGAGAATAAATGGATTTGGAATTAGCTGATGGAAAAGGAAGGTACGGAAGATCTTACATGAGAAGAAAGGTACATCGAGCAATGGTAGCTAGTAAATGAAAAGAAAGATTTTAGGCCAATTCATTAGCTAGGCTAGTTTTAGAGGGCTGGCTGGCTGAGAGAAAATAACTTCCTTTTTGGAAAACTAGTTCATTTTAAATGTTAACACGTTTGACATGGTCGGATGACCAGAAAAGATGAAATGGCGCAAAGTGAAGTGTGGGGAGCGGAGGGTAGAGGAAGGAAGGGTGAAGAATCTGTGAACCATTTGCACGAGATTAGTCAATGAGCTGCCTTCTCACTTTAGCCTTTTGCGAAGTGAAACCGGCATACATTTAAAACCATGTAATTCTGCAACGTTGAACAAACTTAAAGAAACAATTAACCGGTTCCTTCTTAACAAACCTTGTGGTATTTGACTTAAGGAGTTTTGTGTAAAATGCATCATAGACAAACTGAACGATAAGTGTCGGCTTGGTCGTCGAATGGTTGAATGAGTTGGTGTTTGGTGAAGGTGGTAACATCCTTAAACTGCTGGTTAGCAGAAGTCCCACCACTGTAGTGATGTGGTTCATTTGGCACAATCACTTGACGAAGCAATTTCTCTTGCATGTTTTACCGACCCCTCGGAGTTACTAACAGTCTGTCTTAAGGAGAATCACCGAGTTACGTAGATGCCATTAGGTAAAATATTAGGTAACCTTAGGTATGTCTTCTTAGCAGATGTATTTTCAGTCACCACACGCTAAAGAGCTAAACTAGGGAGAGCATAGGTGAGCAAACCGCATCAAATTAAAGCCCGTGTTACAACCCTTTAGGAGGCATTCAGGTTCACATCTTATCCTCGCGTCCGCGAATGCGGCCCATTGTTTGGTTCATTCGGACCCAGCCCGCTCCGACACCCTCGGCGCAAATTGTGTGGCCTATGAAGCTGAGCAACTCGCGACAGCCTTACGAGTTGCAATTCAATGCCATCATCGGTTCAGACAGCGCGGTGGCAAACCTTGCGACAGTGGAGAGCAATCTCGTTCTTAAAGGGAATGCGAGCTCCACTACTCTCACGTATGCAGACCTCGTCAAGATCCCTGACGACCACTGGCTTCGACCCCATCATCCCAACGTTTACTTTGCCCATCCACAGGCCCTCAATCTCACTGAGATTTAAGACAATCTCCTTCAACAGAAACCCATTCCACAGGTGAGTCAATTTCAGCTCTCATTTCCCATCCGTTGCACGACTTACCTTCCACTTCTTGCCCTTTCAGCTACCCGTGAACGGTTACATGTTTTGGTACCTCGTAATC